GGGGCAGGATGGCCGGCTACAGCGTGGAGGAGCGCGCTGCGCCTCACAGCCTGGAGTATCGGCTCTTTTTCAGTGAGTGCCCGCTCTTTGTCTCCTCCCTTTCTTCCTTCCCCTCATTCCCTTCCTTCTCCTGGCCCGGGGGTTGGGGGGCTGAGCTCCTCTGAAGGCTCTGGGGGTGCCCTCGCGGCCTGAGGTGCAGCCCCCTCATCCCTCACCTGAGGCGTCCCGTCAGGTAAGGCCTGACTCGTCCCTCTTTGCCTTGCAGAGGATGCCGCCGGGCGCTACATCTCCCCCTTCCATGATATCCCCATCTACGCAGACGCCGGCAAGGTAAGAGGGGAGTGGGGCCGGAGCAAGGAGCAGCAGGCCAAGTGGGTGATGTGACCTCGTTGACTTGGGGCCGGTGATGAGAGCAAGCCCTGGAGCTCCGGATGAGCGTTTTGTCGGTGCTCCTCAGGGATCCTGAGAATCCTAAAATACCCGAGGGAGGCTCCTAGTTCCTTATGCTGTCTCTCAGCAGGAGCACCCTAACAGAAACACCTCCAGATCTGGCAAAGAATGGGTGCCCTTTTCTTGTGGTCCCAGACTCAGGTAGAGTGACATAGGAGATGGTGACTGATGATGTCATTCTCATATTTGTGGCTGAGATACAAGTCGTTGTCTTGAGCTTGCCCATGATGTCACATGAAAGCGTTCTGGGTTAAAAGAAACAGTTTTCTGTGTAGCTAAATATCTGCATCCACTTCTAGTGAGGTATATGCTCATGCTGTATATTTCAGGCTTACATTTTGACTGCAGTAAGGCTGCTTTATGCCTGTCATGCAATAAGCTGCTGAACAGAAGGCATGGATGTTAAATTCTTGCTGCAGCAGCTCGTGGGGACCTTCTTCTTCTCAAAAAGTGCAGCTGGGAACCCTGCCGCATACAGTGACACATCTTTTACATCCTTCCGGCAGCCAGTGGTTAGTCAAATTAGGCTGTTCTGAATCACTGTCACTCCAGGAAACCAAAACAGTTGTGCTTCAGTTTTCACTGAATATTTTTTCGGTGAAAACTCGGGCTCTCTGACTGTGTTCCTTACTATTTGTTTCTTTTTTTAACACGTACTAAAAACCTGTGCTGTTTGAGGAACATAATGGATGAACTGTTCTGATGTTCATGAGAGAGAGGTGTAATTCGGAGGTAGAGAGTGGTTATAGGAAAGGAAAAGAGTATGCTGAATTGAGAGATGCACCTTTAAAAAGTAGTTAATTGAGCTTTGGGGTGTGGGTGTTGTCAGAATATGCTCAGGGAGGTCTGAGGAGGCCTTTGCCTGCTCAGAAGCGAAAAGACAGATCATAATCATCCAGGACAGCGACAAAGCAGTTTCTATGGCTGACTAGGAAAGCAGTTTTCAAAAGCAGGTGTCTGAAAGGTAACTCTGACAGGGAAAATCCAGATAAACTCTGCTTTGCAGATGTTCACAGAACAGGGGAGGAAAGAGCAGGGGAGTGAGTACACAGGTGAGGAGGTTTTCTACAGACTGGTAAATGATTAACAAGGGAAACTGGACTACTGGTGTGCCTTCAGGTGCTTAGTACTGTTTGCCAGTTTCTCAGTGCCAAGTAATTAAGCAAGTATCGCCAAGGTCGCAGTCCCTGAAGTTACACAATAGTGCTGATCACATTAGACCTCCTTCTGTTGCTGGAGTGCCTCTCTGCAGACGTGTTACTTAGCAGGTTCATTACTAGCTATGGGAGAGGGTCCAGCTTGGAACAAAAGGTTGTCTTACTCTGTCTGGGCTCCTTGATCTTTATCCTTAGATTTCTTAGACACTGAGAGGATTGCAGGGTGTTTTTTTCTGCCTGGGGCTGGGATGTGGTGACCTTATCTGTACCTGTGTGTCTAAGCATTGGGAAGGAATGACCTTGGGCTGCTCACAGGGTGTCTTAGACCAAGGCAGATCGGTTAGTGGGACTGTGGGGAGACTGCAAGCCTAACAAAAATGCACCTCCAAGTCTTGTTTCCTTGCCTGCAAAGCCATAAGCAACCTGCCTAGCCAGTTCCTATTGCCTCATTCCTTTCCTCAAGTTACTTATAAAAATAGTATAGACCTTTATACTTTTAAATTGCAAATGAGCAGTGACCCCCTGCAATTAAGGGGATGTAATAAACCTCTGTTAGGGAAGGGTGTGGGCAAAGGCAATGATGTAACAGTACCCGTTGCACAGTAGCAATCTAATTATGGTGCAGTACAGGTGTGAGGGATTTTGCAATGCTAATACTGCTTAACTTGGGGATTGGAAACCTCCTCGATGCTAGGGAACAAAGTTTGACTTTTTGCTGAAAGCCATAAGCTCTTCAAACAGCAAATGTTAATGTTCAAGCATGGAAAAACTTGGTTTCTTGAAAAGACTCTGGCACTGAACTCTGAAGAGTCCTCTCGGCCCAGCTGGAGTCAACAGGAGATGTTTTCAAACGTCACCTGTACACTAGATACTGCAAAATGTAGTTCTGTGTCTCTCCCACACATCTTTATCATTGCACCGTGCTACTAACAAGGTCTGTCAGCTTGGAGGGGAGAAACTTGTGCATCTCTCCCTGCTTCAAGACAGACTAGAATATTTGGTGGAGCCACCATCCCTGGAGGTGTTTAAGGAAAGGCTGGATGTGTCACTTAGTGCCATGGTCTAGCTGATGTGGTAGTGTTAGGTCATAGGCTGGGCTTAAAGATCTCAGAGGTCTTTTCTAGCCTCAGTAATTCTGTGCTTGGGAGTGATGTTCTCGGTCATTCAGGATAGTACATAGGTACCACGTTACTAAATAGATGGCTTACTGTTGTAAACCTCGTCTGCTAAATTGCCAAGGTGGTTCTTGCTGTAGCATTAAGTGCTTTGTATTTAATAAATACGCCTGAAACCTTATTTTGTTGTGCTCAGGATAGTCTGTATGCAGCTGTTCTTTAACCAAGGAATATGGTGGAGATGTTCATAGGTGGCAGCTGATGGAGCATGTGTGGGTAACCTCAATCTGGCTTTTGCTGGTGTCTTTCATGGGATTCAACTTTGAGTCATGACCCGTGACTGACCAGTCTATGGACTTCTATCAACTATATCAAAACTGGCCCTAGAAAAAGCCAGAAAAAAGCTACCATTTTCATGTGAACTGGCTGGTTTTCATGCTTACTTCTTTATGTTCCCTGGTTTGAAGTGCGGTCTTGAGATTCCTTCCCATTCACTGATATTTTGTTTTCTTCAGAATGTGTTCAACATGGTCGTGGAAGTACCTCGATGGACAAATGCTAAGATGGAGGTAACTATATTACAGTTCCTAGCTTAAGTGCTTGAGCTGCCTGGTCTATTAATCTTTGGCTTTGCTGATTCTCTCCTCCTCACCTCTACATCCTGAATCAGACGGGTCTAAAATTGGTGGGTCTATAACTAGCAAGAAAATAGTTCAACCCCAATAAATAAGGCCTTTTCAAACCTGCCATGCTGCAGGCATCACATCCAGGGAGCTCTCTGGATGTAACTCCAGCTTCTCCTGTAAACACTTGCTTAATGCCAGAGGTCTAGCATGGAGGCTGAGACTGGCAGAAGTTGGAATAACTTAGCGTTCTCCTGTGGCTTCTGCTTAAAGCAGCATCGTATGGCTCTCAACCCCGTGTGCTTCTGACGTTTGTAAGTCTGCCAAAAGCTGTGTTCCAGGACATGTAATGCAATGGGAAATGGAGTTGTCCAGTATTTACTGTTGGCTTCAGGGTTAGCTCCTGGTCTCTTGGCTTGTCCGTTAGCAGCCAGCTTCATTTTAAAAAACAATCACTTGGGGTTTTCTTAGAGAGCAGGGAGATTTATGTAACTTTTCTTTCAGATTGCAACAAAGGATCCCTTAAACCCAATTAAGCAAGACGTGAAGAAAGGAAAACTGCGCTATGTAGCGAATGTGTTTCCCCATAAAGGTTATATTTGGAATTACGGTGCTATCCCACAGGTACTGTAACTTGTCTGGGTGGCTCATCCTTTCTGGTGGGGAGGAGGGAGGATGCCTGTATGTATCTCTGACTACCATCAAATTAATGAGCAAGGTCAGCTGAAAGTCTGCTCTGCAACAAAGCATTGGCAGCTGTGTGGGTAATCTTGCTAATGAAGAGAACCTGTCAAGAAAGCAGGGCTACTTACTTGTAAGTAGACATCTCATGAGGTAGGCTTGTAACTAATGCTGTAAACAAGCTGTTGGAGGACTTGAGGATGAGCAGCTGCTGTTAGTGGGATACCTGCTGTGTCACTCTTCTCCTTAGCAACTTGGTGGTTTGGTTGGACAGTAGCTGGCAGGTCAGTGCTCCTTTCAATGAAGGAAGCTGTCACTACACAAGGAAGGTGAAGGTTCATGGTGGGTACCTGGCAATGCAATGCCTTCAGTTCCTGCCCAGCAAAGCATGAAGAGCTAAAGTTGTAAGCTAATGGTACAGGATCTCGATGTGTGAGAATCCTTGGCCGAGTCTTTACGGAAGATTCTTGTTCAGTGAATTAACTGATTGCTTTAGACATTGGAGGTGGACAAGGGAAATCTGAATAGATCTGAAGATTCCATCTTTCCTGTTGCTGGCCTCCTTATTATTCAGGATCTAAAACACCCAGCTAGACTAACATACTGACCTGCTGGATGGTAGTAGATGCCCTGGATCTGAGAAGGGCTCTTAGCAGTCCAGAGACTGTGAGGCAGGCATCTGCAGCTGCAGACACACTTCCTTTGAAATAGCTGGCAAGGGGGAGTCTTGATGGGTAGTGACACCTGGACACATGCTCTTAACTGTCTGATGACTGCTGGATAATGAGGAGCTCTGAGCAAGGCTGATGTTCTCCAAGGTTTGCGTTTCCTTTAGAGAAAATACTGTCAGTGACAGTTCACAAGGAAACACACTGAATTTTGTAATTCTAGTCTTGATAGCAGCCCATGTTGAGTGTTTTCTCTCAGTGGCTTAAGATGGCATTTTGAAGTTGAATTTTTTTCTACTCAGATGTATTCTGGAGCCAGTTTCTTTGTATGGAATTACAGCTTTTGAAGCCTTTGCTCAGTCATGTGTTAGTAGACCAAAGATGTTTCTGCATTAAGGGTGAGGGGCTGAATTTAACACTTGCTTGTAGAGAAGTGCGAATAGCGATTGTGAAGAATCCTTCAGTGCCACCCAGGTTTTAGTACATCTTCCTGAACACTCTGGCTGTATCATGAGGTCTTGACTATACTGGTTGTGTCCTGGCATGCAGAGATTTGGGTAAAGCATTCCCTCTTTTTGTATCTCAACAACCTTAGAGGTGGGTGCTCCTTATGATACAAGTGGGCTCAGTGTCCTTTTGCTCCTGATCAGAAGTCTGTGTTTTAAGCAGCTGTTTTTGGAGGCGTATGCCTCATGCCTTCTGGAGTCCTATGTTCCAATGTATACTCAGCACTTCAGGTGGCATGCGCTAGTACAATGCAAAGCATAGAGCATGGGACTCTATGTTCTTGTCTCTGCTCCATTGTAACAGCATGTCATTAATTGTTTAATTAAAAGGAAGCAATACACCCTGTCTGTCTTCCATCTCTGTTGGACTGCTATCTGGAGTTCAGGAAACTTCTGTTAAGAAATGAATAGGGAGAGGAACAGGCAGGCAGTCAAATCAATGAGTGTTCTTTATAGATGTGATCTTTATGCAGCTGTGGCACAGAAGAGGAAGTCTGGAAAGTTGTTGAAAAAAAGTTTGTCAGTAGGAGGGAGCAGTTTACACTTGGCAGGGTAAGACATTTTAACTTGGATTCAAACTATTTGCAGGCAGTGCGAAAGAGTAGCCCAGCCAACTAGACCTGAAAGCAAGTGTGAAGTGGGCCTTGAAGGCAATTGTGTTCCTGAAATAAACCTGCTTTTTATTTCCTCTTGAAACCTGAGAGTTCTTACGTGTATGTGTGTGGTGGGGTTTGTTTATTTTTTTATTTTTTTTCTTTTATTTTCAGACTTGGGAAGACCCAGGTCACAAAGATGAAAATACTGGCTGCTGTGGAGATAACGATCCAATTGATGTGTGCGAAATTGGAAGCAAGGTAATGCACTCTAAAGGGTAACTGTCTTTTGAAACGTGTAATTAATGTCTCTGAAGTCAATTACCCAGAGACATTACTCAGTTTCTACCGCCTTTACCTCAAGAATGTGATGTTTCCCTCCACTGCCTCTGGAGATTGTTGATGAGTTCTTACAGCGCAAACCTTGTACGCCAAGGCTTGTGAACTGCAGATAAGCGATAGGTAATTTTGTGGTACCTGACTGCTTGCTGAGCTCTCACAGCTTGTGCAGTCACCTGTTATGCATTCCTTGGATGCATTAGTACAAACAACAAGGTCTTTGTCTTTTTAGGTGTGCTCTCGAGGAGAAGTCATCAAAGTGAAGGTGCTGGGCACACTGGCACTGATTGATGAGGGAGAGACAGACTGGAAGATAATTGCTATCAATGTTGAAGACCCTGAAGCGGACAGCTATAATAGTAAGTAACAGGAGGGAGGAGCAGGCTCAGTACTTCTCTTTCTCTGTTGAGAGCCTGCAGGAAGCTTTCAAGACAGGACTTGCTCCTTCTGTGCCACAGCATTCATCAGATGCGATGCTGGAAGGACAGCAGAATAGGATGTTATCAATCCTGTAGCAAAACATGTTATTGCTATTTATTCTAAATTAAGTGTTCTGCACAGCCTGGCATCTTGAAGAAGAGAGTGGCTGTACAGCCTGTCCTCTGAGTGGTAGGAAAGGGGTTCTCAAAGCTGTTTAGATGTGTCCAGGCTCCTGGGGACAATCAGGATATACTGTGAAGATGAAACACTAACTCCCCTGTGCAGATACCCACTTTAACGTGTAGCATGTCTGAAATGTTGCTAAGCCTACCTGAGGAGGGGCTGAAAGAAGGGCAGCTCCAAAGAGCGGGGTAATTTCTATTACTAGATCTGGCTAACAAACCTTTTCTCCCTGGCTAGATATCAGTGATGTCAGAAGGATGAAACCTGGATACTTAGAAGCTACGGTGGACTGGTTCAGAAGATACAAAGTACCTGATGGAAAGCCTGAAAACCAGTTTGCTTTTAATGGCGAGTTTAAAGACAAGGTAGGATGGCCTTTCTTCATTACTGTGAGTGCAAAGACACACTGTCCAAAAACTGAGCTCAAGGTGCATGGGAACACAAATGAGTAATGACTGAGAGAATGGATTTCTATGGGCTGCTAATAGCTGAGTTCATTCTCTCTGCTGTTTTTCCAGCCTACAATTCTGCTTGTTTCCAGCCCAGTGCTTGCAAGAATACTGTGACAAAAAGCATAGGGTTTTCACCCAGTTGTGGTTGGATATTTTCAGGTTTTTCTTCTAGATGACATTCATGTGGGATCACTTCAGGGCTGGGAGCCTTTATGTCCAAACCAGGGCGGAAAACACCAGGTCTATTTGCTCCTGCTCTGGAGCAAAGGGTGCTTGACATCACCCTTAGTTTCCCTTTCTCACTGGTTTTGTTCCATTGCAGCCTGGTGCAAGTTGAAGTTAACTCTGGAGTTAAAATGCCTCTACCTTCAGGCATAAAGTGTTCCCTTACACCCTTGGAGTAAGGCTCTGCCTTGGCAGCGTTACTTCTCTGACTCTTCCCTTGGTTGGGTCAGACAATTTACTGCTCCTGGATGGGTGAAGTCCTGCTTCTGTGCCCTCCCTGGTGTGCCGTGAGTGGGTTAGTGAGGTGACTCAGCTCCCAGAGCTCCAGAGTTGGTCTAGAGCAGAGAAGGACCCACAGAACCCAGTGTGGGAAGGAAAGGGTAAGGGGAGGGCTACAATGGAAGTCACATCGGAGTGGGCTTGTCCCCTTTGGCTGTAGCACAGCACTAGACTGGGTGGGCTGGGACATCTCGCTGCCTCTCAGGATGGGTGAAACCAGAATCAAGGCCAAGGCAATAAACAGGGACAAAGAACCTTGCACAGGTTCCTGTGGTGTTTTATTTGGCTCTGTGTGGTATCAAACCAGGATATTTATTGCTGGTGTTCACACTAACAAAGAATTGTGTGTGCTTCCTTCTTCAGCTGACAGGTTAATGCTTGAGCGTATACTACTTTTTTTTTTTTAAGGAAAAAAAGCTGTGATATGCTTGGAAGCTGATTAAATAGTTGCAAAGCTAGATTTGATGCATGTCTTTTCCTGTTGATCTGTGCAGGAGTTGAATGATGTGCCTGGAGTGGCAGAAGTTCTCACAGATAGGTCAGGATCAGCAAGCTGCTGGAGACAAACCGAGTGGGAGGAGCAGTGGGGTGGAGGTGCTTTTGTAATATCGCACTGGCCCAAGACTAGAATATCTGCGCTCAGTTTCTTTTGGCCTCAAGCTCGCTAGGTGACCTTGGCATATCCTCCCATCTTGAAAGTAAAACAACTCGTCTTGTAAAATCCCCGTTGTTTCAGCTGTTGTGTGCTGGGAGGTGGCTGCTGTTCCTGAAAGGCGCAGTAACGGAAGAGGTCTCTGAGCCCCTTCCAGAGTCAGGAACTGTCTAAAATCAGCCTTTAAATACCATCCTCTTGTTCCATGTAACTGATAGTGAGGAGAAGATGGTCTGGTGCTTATAACAATGTGATGTTTGTTCTTGTCTTCAACTTCAGGATTTTGCCGTGAACGTCATCGAAAGCACTCACGAACACTGGAAAGCTTTAATAGCGAAGAAAACTGACGGAGGAGGGATCAACTGGTAGGTTAATGCTTGTGGAACTGTGCACGCTCTTTTCCCCTAAACAAATAACACTGAAACTTCCTTTCCTGAGTGGTGCCACGCTTTCTGTTAGCTGCTGGCTGCCTCTGCAGGCCTTCCTCTTCAACTTGGCAACCACAGCAGATTCTTAATATTCCATTATTTAATGCTCTCGAGGGAGAGACTTGGCTTTCACGTTCTCACGAGTGACCTTTCTCTCCTAGCACAAATCTGACGGTGTCCGACAGCCCTTTCTGCTGTAGTCAAGAGTGTGCAAAAGCTACTGTGGATGCAGTAAGTACAAACTTGTGTCCCAACCCCAGTGCTAGTAGCGGGCAAAACGATCTGATTTGTGTGATTTCTATTCTCTGTGCAAATAGCACACTGTATGCTCAGTTTTTTGGATGACTGAATGCAGCACCTGTTTCTGGTTAAATAGGAGGCATGTGGAGCAAGCCAGATGTTCCTCCAGAGGCTTCTCCTTGCCTTTAGTCATCTGGGAACTGGAATCCAAACCAAGTTTGTGTAAAGGGCTAAAATTCTGAACTTGGCTGTCAGCTGTTCAGAGTGTTTAAATATTTGGCCTTCCAAGAGCTTCACAGTACAGGCCACCCTTTGAGAAAAGAAAGTAACTCCCAAGAGCCTTGCAGCCAAGGACCATGCATCCTTTGCAATTAAAAGCTTTAAGTTCCCAGGGTTGTACTCCAATTCAGTGTCAGGACTTAACCCTCAGCTTGTGAAGTGCTTTTGTTGGAAACTTGAAAGGGTTAGAGGAATGGGGCAGGAAAATAAAAATGCAAATGTTGCCTCATTGAATGGAAATGTGACTGAAAGCCAGAGTCTCCCTGTAGCCTTGGAGAGACTTTTGAAACAATTGTATTTGTTTTAAAAGTGCTTGTATCCTCTGGTGGTAGCCAAATTACTTGGTAAGTTTTCAAAAGTGCAACCCTCATGGAGGATGTGTCACCAGCTGAGGGCCCCTGTCTGTCTTTGGTTGTTAAGTATCACAGAACCACAGACCGTTAGGGATTGGA